GTTTACTTGTGGTATGAAAGACTCCTTGTCTATCGTAATGATTTACTTGTGGAATGAAAGACTCCTTGTCTATCGTAATGATTTACTTGTGGAATGAAAGACTCCTTGTCTATCGTAAGGATTTACTTGTGGTATGAAAGACTCCTTGTCTATCGTAATGATTTACATGTGGTATGAAATACTCCTTGTCTATCATAATGATTTACTTGTGATATGAAAGACTCCTTGTCTATCGTAATGATTTACATGTGGTATGAAATACTCCTTGTCTATCATAATGATCTGGTATGAAAGACTCTTTGTCTATCGTAATGATCTTCAAGTGGTATGAAAGCTCTTTGCCTAGCATAATGATCTAGTATGAAAGACTTCTTGTCTGTCGTAATGATCTACAAGTGGTATGAAAGAACAGATTCACTGTGGAATCAGTTACAAAGAATAACTTTTTAAAGAGATCATTCTTTTAATATTATTTTGAAAACGCGAAAGCTGATACAAGATGGGATTCGAACGCAGGCACTCCTTGGAAGCGAAGAACTTTAATCGGCTAAGCTATTGTGTTATAATTGGACGTGTATGGTATTAAATTACCGATTGGTCTTGTAGTTGCTAAAAAATATTTTCTTAGAGACATCGTGCACCATTTTATATCATATTTTTTTCACTGGATACGTTTTGTCCATGTTTACATTGTTCTGGAACCTTCTATAAGAATCTGACAAGGAAACAAACGATTTTCCACAGATACAAAACACTGACTTTTCTATAATTATTGCTCCTTACTGTAGCTGAAGTTTCTTGCATATTCAGACGGTTCGTTTATATTTTCTTATATATAAACTAATGCAGCCTATTTATTAAGGTTCTACCATCATATCATATTTACCTGTAGTTACTGTATACAGATTGAACAAGTTTGCTTAAAACGTTTATTCATGCAAAACCTCTTCTATTATATTTTTAGCTTTTGTTGCAGTCGTAGGCGATAACCTATGTCAACACCAATGAAACATTATTTATAGCTGAAGAAAATCTGATGTTAGTTCTCCTAATAATTATAAACTGTTAAAAATAGCATTCTTTACGTATTCCTGTAGATCCCCAAAAAGACCCCAACTACTGTGAAAGCAGTTATGATTGTAAACAAACTGATGATGCCTACTGTGACGAGATAACAAACCGATGTGCATGCAAAAGCAGTTCCGATGTTCTGTCCAGAGAGGGTTGGTGTTATCCAGGTAGGTAAAGTTTCATACTTCCTTATAAAAACAAGGCTAATACAGAGTGGTAATGGACATCTTAACTGTTATTCTGATACAGAGTGGTAATGGACATTTTACCTATTACTCTAATACAGAGTAGTAATGGACATTTGAACTGTTACTCTAATACAGAGTAGTAATGGACATTTTAACTATTACTCTAATACAGAGTAGTAATGAACATTTTAACTGTTACTCTAATACAGAGTAGTAATGGCCATTTTAAATGTTACTCTAATACAGAGTAGTAATGGACATCTTAACTGTTACTCTAATACAGAGTGGTATTAAACATTTTAACTGTTACTCTAACACAGAGTAGTAATGGATATTTTAACTATTAGTCATTTCGTGTAAACAAAATGTCAGATTTGAGACACTTTCCTTGTTAAAACAGATATTTACAGTAAATAAAGCACAACAAGAACTAAAGATGATGATATTATACACCCAACAATAAGAATCGTACCCTACTATTAGGAATAACAACAGTGTAGCATTACCAGACATATTACTAAGAGTTTTCAATGTATTGTAATTGCGTTTTAAACAAAGTGGTTGTAACTGTCTCTAAATTTGCAACAGAAAGTGTTTACATCCCTGCTAATGACTCATGCTTTATTACTTATGTCAAGTTTAATAGCCTTGAATATTACTTTAAACCCATTTGACTTTGTCTGAGTCCAGTTACCCTGGGCATTGTGTCTTAAGCCCAATATATCCTTTTACCAGTCCAGTTACCATGATTGAATATTATATCTTTATCACTGCTAGACCTGTACCAAGAATAGCCTTTAGAGTTGTCTTAAACCCCATATGACTTTGTATGAGTCCGGTTACCCTGGGCATTGTGTCCAAAGCCCAATATATCCTTCTACCAGTCCAGTTACCATGATTGAACATTATATCTCTAGCACTGCTAGACCTGTACCAAGGATATCCTTGAGAGTTGTCTTAAACCTCATATGACCTATAAAAAAGGTACATAATCTTGAACACGGCCTTAAGCTCCATGTGATTTATACCAGTGTGATAATCTTGAAGATTGATCATATGTGTATGTGGCCCTATTAATTGTGTCCTACATTTATATTATACTCAATGCCTTTGACCACTGACTTGTTTTTTACCCCATAATTTGTCTATTTCAAGGAATTATCCAGTAAAGTCAGTTTTTAATGGAATTACGCTTCAATTCAATTCTGTGGTTATTTTACAAATATTCAAAAAGTAGTTTATTTTTGGTCGTTGTTAAGCGCAAGGCTGCACAATGTTCAATCTGTGCTCTTCTCTCCACAGGTATCGAAACCTGATTTTTAGCGTCGTAAGCAATACTCAAAAATAAAACTAACTAACGGAAAGAAAGAATCGATCTTTTGTCCACATAGCGCGATTAGAATTGGCTAAATTATATTTGCCTATTTCAAGGAATTATCAAGAAAAATCAGTGTTTCAGTGGAAATTATGCTTTAAATTTCAATTCAACTATGAGATCATTTTACAAATTGACACAAACAAAACTATCTAACGGAAAGAATGTATCGAACACCACTTTCCATCCCACGACTATAATTGGCACGCATAATTTATGTTATAGTAGAGAAACGTAATGTTTTAGAAGGCAGGCATCGCCCTCGAACTATTTGCTGGGACAATACTTACGGTAGGAATGGTAACCAGGCAGTTAATAAGGAAAATTATATGTGCTATTGTATGTGCCACCATAAATTTTTCCATGGTGGTCTTTCTTCAAAGATTTTGAACTGTCCCTAAATCGGTCCTCATTCTGCTTCATCGGGATTTAGATCCTTGTTTGGACCTGGGAGGATCAGGTTCAATCCTAGATCTTTGTATATTTTTTTAATTTCGCGCAAGGCCAGACGAGGGCTATCTGAGCTATCCGTCCCTAATTTAGCAGTAAAAGACTAGAAAGAAAGCAGTTAGTCAACACCACCCACCGCCAAATCTTAGAATTCCCATTTACCAACGAAGAGTGGGATTGACCGTCACATTATAACACGCCAATGGCTGAAAGAGCAAGCATGTTTGGTAACAGAGATTCGATCCCGCGACCCGCAGATTGCAAATTGAGTGCTCGTTTTCCGCCATGGACAGAGCGCAAATAAACCATCGTGCTAAAATAAAAACAACTAACAGTATTAAAATTCAAGAAGTCGTTAGTTCGGTTTCCTATATGCAGGTTGCGATAGAAGCTAAACTGAGATGAAGGGAGAAGATAAAAAAAAAACTTTTTATTTATTACTACTGAACGTACAAATGATAGGATTCGGCTTATTTATTACCTGTTGTCTCCATCGATAACAAAGACAGGTTTGAAGAACTAGTAAACTAGTGCCAGGTTTACGATACCGGTTTTCATTTTCCTCCTCAGCAGAGATTGATGGAGGTTCTCGTCTGGCTTCCGGCCTTCCTGAGAAGTTCAGAACCAATAGCTCCAGCACGGTACAAACCTATCATTACACCCACACATATATCACGAGTTCATTTATAATCTGAAAAGAAGGATGGGAACTACGTTAGATGGACTTTACTAGTTTAAACTGTGGTGTTAAGTTTTCATAAAACTTTATTCAGGTAACGGATGAGATTTAATATCACATCACATTTAGGTGGTTTTAAACTCAGGATCTTTTTCTTTTTTTATCCGAATGATTCGTTTTTAAACATTTATAAAACTGAAACGAGAAACCTGACAACTGTTCGAAAAACAGTCAGAAATTGTGATTACAAAATATCCTCAAAAAGAATGAAAACTAAAACATTCCAGGCAATGAAGTTAAAATGTTTTGGTGTATTTTATCGTGAAAGCTAAAGTAAAAACGGAACTTGTATCACACCCATTAAATCTTAACTAGTAAATTACGATCGTTAAAATAACCTAAATGTTAAATGTATACAGATCACCTTGAAGTCCATCTTGTCTAAACAAAACGACAATTTTCCAATTACGGGTGAGCCACAAAATATGTTTAAAATATTTACTGTTACTAGCAGGGTGAAATATTGTAAGGTTATAGATGCAGATATTTTTTCCAAGTAACTGGATTATTAGAAACATGTTCAATTCACTCTTTACCTAACTAACTATACAGATTCGTTAAAATCATGCTGGACTGTGGAAGCAAGGGTGAGTTGTTCGCGTTTTATCAACACACACAAAAAAAACACCCTCCACACGTTAGGATCGTAGGTGCATTATAAGAATAACAATCAAATCCAACTATTCAAACTGACAGAAGTAGCCCAAGACTTGGCGGTGGGTGGCGTTTACTGTCTGCCCTGTAATCTGTCATTTCAAGATTAGAAACTCCTATGCATAGATAGCTCTACTGTAACTTTTCGCAAAATCCAGCAAAAACAATATAATAGCTTAAATCTGAAGAATACTAAAATAAATTTATTTCAAGCCTTGTCCAGGCAGTTGACGACCACGGAAACAAATGATACAACTCTATCCAAGTCTTTTCTCAAATGTTGTAATGATTATGCTTGCGATACAGTAATTCCTACTAATTATGTACAGAGGAGTTTTAATAACAAAATAATGAAGGTTATTTTTTAGGAACACTCGCTAGTCTTTATTTAAAACGGAATCCATCCTCCTATTAGTTATTATGATAGATATATCGATATAATGAATGTTATTTTTTGGGGGGAACACTCACTAGTCTTTATTTAAAATGCAATATATCCTCCTATTAGTTATTATGATAGATGTATCGATATAATTAATGTTATTTTTTGGAGGGAACACTCGCTAGTCTTTATTTAAAACGGAATATATCCTTAACATTCATTATATCGATATATCTATCATAATACCATAACTAATAGGTTTTTTGGGGGGAACACTCGCTAGTCTTTATTTAAAACGGAATATATCCTCCCATTAGTTATGGTATTATGATAGATATATCGATATAATGAATGTTATTTTTTGGGGGGAACACTCGCTAGTCTTTATTTAAAACGGAATATATCCTCCCATTAGTTATGGTATTATGATAGATATATCGATATAATGAATGTTATTTTTTGGGGGGAACACTCGCTAGTCTTTATTTAAAACGGAATATATCCTCCTATTAGTTATTATGATAGATATATCGATATAATGAATGTTATATTTGGGGGGGGGACACTCGCTAGTCTTTATTTAAAACAGAATATATCTTCCCATTAGTTATTATGATAGATGTATCGATATTGACTAAAACCATCGCATAAATATACAAGATAATCCGTTACTCATGAATATGTTAAATTAAGATAATTGATTTCAAATGGATTGGTTGATCTACCCGATGAACATCCTGACACAAACAGAAGGAAACGTGACTTTCAAGGGTTGAAGTAGATAGGAGGTTTAACGTAGTGAAAACCTAGAGTAGAACTAATTACTTGGTATTAAAGTAACTCTTCTGTTGTGACTGCTTGTAAAACGCATTATCCTGAAAAAAAAGTAAGCTTAGTCGATCAGAAATGAGAGTATTTGTTTCACTAAGTGTAATTTTGAAAACATGTCATTGAATCTTTACCTTCACATTTGTATCTAAAACAGCAGGTAATCAAAAGTTAATAGAATAAGAGGATTAAGTAATTTTTTTGTATCTATTAAATGACAACTGCTAATGGAGTCATTGGTATAATTAAGTTTACTGTTAAGCTTGGAACTTCTGACGTCACAAGTCCTTAATTCGAATATGTTTTTTTTTTATTCCGTGTAGCAATCTCTATATTATAGTAGTTCGAGCTTCGAAAATTAGTGAAATTAATACAACTTTTTAAAGTCTAGGTATTGCCTATGATTATATCGCATAAATGGAAATGGAAAAGCAGTACGTTGTGGGTGTGTCAGACAGTCAAATCCTACTATTCGATCAGACAGGGCCAGCCCAAGAGTTGGAGGTAGACGATGTGACTAGTTGCCCACCCTCTAATCTACCAGTCCAAAA